GCGATTTAACTGGTGTTTTAGGAATTAAGGCGATTTAACTGGTGTTATTGCTTTAGAGGATGAATTGGAGCTGTTGCTTTAACTTTGAACAATTGATTAAAACAAAAGTAAATTTGAAGTGGATATGATGAAAGTGACATCAATACTACCCAAAATTAATAGGAACATCTCCAATGGAGGTAAGAAAAGAAGAAGAAAAAAAAACGTGTAGCTAATTTTGAAATGCAAAGAATTAATAAACATCCAACTCCAATGGAGTTGTGGCAAACAATTTGACATACGAAGCTAAATAAAAAGAAAATACTACAGACTCTCACCATTTATCAATAATTGATATCCTAAGTAGAAAATTAGTATCTCTGCCATCCACTCTACTCTCTTTGGGTACTCTGCAGTGGCATCACAACTTGCCAACTTTGTGCATCCTCTTACATAAAACCAAAGACAAAAAACATTAACAAAACCAATCATTCTAAAAAGTCAGAAAAATAAAAGAGAACAATGAAACTTTACCTATTATATATGTGCATGGCAATGATGTTGAGTATCAACATATAAATTGGTTCGGGTGGCGGGATATACGTATCATCTAAATTGGTTGAAGCATGCCACATTTAAAGTGAGTATCCAACATCAGTTTTGGTAACCAAGATAAACTAAACTATGGAAAATAGGTTTGTACAAATATGCTAAGAGAAATAACTTAATCTAGGCATTCTCTCTTGCAATATATACACATACTCAAATAAAAAAATCATAAGAAATGTTCCACAGAATAGCATCAAATTCACTTTAAAATAATTAAAAATTTGTCATAGAAAGAGACTGAACAGAAATGTCAAGAGATAAGGGCCAGAAGACTCACAACTCAATTAACAATATTTCATATAGTAGTTTAACTATGAGCTTATATATTCAAGGAGAATAAATCAACAAAAGTGTGTGAAGCATGTAAACTAATAATGGAAAAAAAGAAGGAAAAAAACTCTTGAGGGCATTGTTTAACAATTCAATTAATAGGAAGATGCTTAAACCCCATATATACCTGTAAGCCATCATTTCCAAATCCACCTTCTCCAATTTTAAGCAGTCTACTGATATTGTTGGTTGCATGCCTTAGCTCTAGGAGTAAATACATGCAAAAAATTATGAGCCTTCTCTTCATGCTGGACTGTAATAAATGTGATCTTCCTTAAGCAGTCTACTGATATTGTTAAAATTCCGAAATGAAACATAAGAAAATCATAGAGAAAATGTTTACTTGACAAAATGAAACATAAGAATGAAAGAGACAGAGAGAAACCAAGACAAAATTAGCCAAAATAGAGAAGATTAAAATTCGGAAATCAAACACCCAAATTCATAAATCCTAACAAACAATTTAAAACTTGGAAGAGCACGTGTGATGACAAAAAAGAGATAGGATTTGAAATAATAACCTGGTAAATAGCTTGAACATTATCCCTCCTATATGAATTTAAATATTCTCTCTTTCTGAATTTGAACACTACCTCCTTTATCGAAGTACAAACGGTTTTTAGTTATACCAGCACCAAGAAAAAACACATCATAAGAAGAGCAACAAAAAATGGAGGAGACTATATTGAAGTCCAAGCACATGATCCTCGTGAAGCTTTTAATTTCTCTACCAAAAGTATTCCTTGAGAAAAGAGGAAAAGAAACAAAAAATCAAAATATAATCTGATTCCTAACAGAAAAGAAATGCAAAAATAGACGTCAATCTTTTACTGAAAGATGCAACAACAAAAAACAGAAAGATAGGAGAAACTAATACAGATCATAAATAAACAGACATGTAAAAGAAAAAACAAATAAGACACTGGGTTTTAATTGTTATTAGGGATTTCAACATAAATAAAAACCAACACGCATTCCAGTCGAAAACACCACAAAAGTAATAAGGGGAATTACGAAAGGATGTTTTGTGGAGAGAAAGCTTAAAAATTAAATGCCAAAGCCCTCTTCTTCGATTTTGTTTTTTTTCCTTTGTCACCTGCGTCCTCCAGAAAGATAGAAATAGAAAGAGGAAATTACCGACCTAAAATTGTATTCTCACAAACACCTAGTGTCAAACACAATCAGCATCCCGATGTAAAAAAAGAGAGGGTGGTATCTGAATACACTAATTGAACAACCCAATACTTAACCCCTGAAATTGGTGGTTGAACAACGCACTGCCTCATTCTTGAATTTCTTTCCTTGGTCCTTGATATTGCTTGAAGCTATCATACAATAAATTTGTAAGGATAAGGATTCAGTATGCGAACAAAGAAAAAAAATACAAATATGATTCAGAAGTAGTGATTGACCTATTTTGTGTGAAACTCAGGGCATTATTCATCTATACAGAGCCAAAGCAAAATTGAAATAGAAATGGTTTTTGAACCACCCAAGCGCAGATACAGAAAAGATTGTCCAATAATCTACAAATTCATCAACCAAGAGAAGTAAACCGAATGTGGACCTAAAAAAATTAAGAGAAAAAATAGGAATGAAAAATCGCAAATTTCAACAAATTTCAACCACACAAAGAAGAACAAAATTCAATCCCCAATTCACTGAATACAAACCACTCTGAAATCAAATATGGAACACATAAAGTGCACACAAAAAAACCAACTAAGAAAGAAAGATTTGTTAGGCTTACCACAGAGCAAGAGAGCATTTGTTGATAGCTAGTGAGCATTTGTTGATAGCTAGTGAGGGGAAAGTGGAACCAAAAATTTGAAATAGGAAACAGGAATGAGATCCCAGATATCCATTCAATTTTTGTATGCTAAGTGAGCAGTTGTAACTGAAGAAAAAAAAAATACATTGCACGCATGGGCTGGCGGTTTTCAGTCGCACGATGGGTTTTCCCCTCTTTGTGGGTTCTCAACTCCTAGCACGCCGTCTTCATTTTTCTATTTTTTTCCTTTTTTCAATTTTGTTAATTGGGTGTTGCTTTACCATTTTATCCATTATTTAATATAAATAATGTGCTTTAGTATTTTAGTTAACCAAGGGTATATTCGGGGTTTTTGAATGTTTCACCATTCTCTAGCTTTTGCTTTATATATATATATATATATATTAAATTTAAAAACCTACAATTTATCTATAAATACCTCTCCCACTCATTTCATTCCACATTTCATACAAATTTTATCATATTCTCTACTTATTCACAACTTTCCACATTCTTTCTTGTTGTCAAATATTTTGCATACTTATTTCCTACAAATTTATTTTCTTTACTCGAATGGAAGATGAACATCTTTGCAAGGCTTTCATAAAAGTCTCCGAAGATAGTGTTGTGGGTACTAACCAAAAAAACACTGGGCTTTGGGAACGTATCTCACAAAAATACACAGAGTCTATGGAAGGCATCATCAATCCTTCAATTTTCAGAAACCATGAGAGTTATGCTAGCTGATGGAAGAAGTACATTTATCCGAGCTGCAACCTATGACATCGAGCAATCAAAACTGCCGAAAAAATCTTTACTAGTGGAACCAATATCTCCGATTTAGTGAGTTATTATTTTTTATGTTTGTTTGAATTATTTATATTGGTATTTTAGAAATAAATGTGTTTATAAGTTTTGGTATTGTTCATTTTTTTAGCGATGCCAAACATACGAAATTTATGGCAAGACACCATTTAAATTTGATCAATGTTGAGATATTGTTCAACATTGGGTGGGTTTTCAAGATCCACTGGAGGAAATATATGGTACTCCATCTAGCTAAAGAATTAATGTGAGCTTTAATTTGGAGGAGGATGATGAACAATCGCCACACAATGTAGAAGATCCGTCGCCAAGTCAACCATCTATCTCTAGGACACTAGGATGAAACAAGGCAAAAAAAGAGAAGCAAAGGGCCAAGGAAAGGGATGCCAAGGCCGTTGGGGATGAAATTGTTTTCGCCTTGCGAACTCTTGCAGAACAAACCGCCAAGGCATAAGAGGATAAGAGGAAGAGATATGAGCAAATGGATCGACAACGACAAGAAGAGATGGATGAGAGGAAGATGGCTAGGAATACGGCAGACATGACTCCAAACTCTAAAGAATTTTTTGAGGGGAAAAAAAGGGCAATTTGAGAGCGACACCGTTCTCGTGAGTTGTTTCCAAATACTAGTTCATCATCATATGACTATCGTCCAACATTCCAAAATGAAGATGATTTTACTATTTAATATTAGTAGTTTGTGTCTTTATATTAAAGTAGTTGGTGTCTTTAATATTTAAGTTGATATTAGTAGTTTGTAGTCTTTATATTAAAGTAGCTTGTAGTCTTTATATTAGCAATTCGTAGTCTTTATATTAAAGTAGTTGTAGTTGGTATATTTATATTATTATATTATTATTTATTATAATTCTATACACCCGTTTCCTGAAATTTTTTATTTTATGTAATCTATGCATATTATCTACTTTAAAAAGCAGAATCTTCAAAATTCTTACTAGATGCAGTCGTGGCCAAGAATTCATGTCATCATTGGCATGCATTCATCTAGTGATTTGTTTTCCTTTGGAAAAAATACCAAGCTTGATTAACCATCATGTGCCATATTTAAGATCCATTGGAAGCTTGTATAATATATAAAATATCACAATTATCACTTTAGGTATTTGAGATTGGTTTGGTTAAATTCAGTGAAGTTGTTTTCTTTTTCATGTTTAGTCCTTCATTCATGAGGCAAAAAGAAGTGGAGATTATTATTAGTATATGATAGGCTTTACATCTTTGGTCAGCTCTATCACGTTGTTTATTATGCTTTCCAGAATCTTTCTTTTTCTTTTTTGATGATGAGAAGTCTAATATTGTCAGCTCTATCACATTGTTTTATGCATCTTATTCGTACAAATCACAAGCCACACAAAGGAGTAATAATGAATTCAATTTATTACAACACACCACGTAAATGAAAACAAGCCACATATCATAAAAGAAAAACAAGCCACACAACTCAAAGTAAAAACAAGCCACACAATCATTGTTCTTGCCCTCGTATGTTCCATATATGCGCAACAAGGTCTTCTTGTAAGCCAGTGTTTGCAACAGGACAACATATTGCTCTATATCGACTCATGTATGATTCCATGAAGATTCTACCTGTTCTTAGATCCCGAGGAAAATCAGCTCCATCATATATCAATGCACGGTCTCTCCTTGACCTATTTAGATCAGAATCTTCGTCATCGGACTCTTCATCGTAGTAGTCATCCCGTTCGTCTTCCACAATAATGTTGTGCAATATTATGCACATAAACATGATGGAGTTAAGTTTTGCTAGACTTCACCCTCTTGCCGATTGCCTAACGATTGCAAATTGAGCTTGAAGAATCCCAAAAGCTCTTTCAACGTCCTTACGATATACCTCTTGCTTGGTGGAAAAATACTCATCTGCCACATTCTCAGGATGTCTAATTGATTGGACAAGTGTTGCCCACTTTGGGTAGATACCATCAGCAAGGTAATAACCCATGTTGTAAAGATGACCATTGATGTAGTAGTCTAGTTGAGGTGAGTTACCCTCCGTGAGGGAATCGAAGAGAGGTGAACACCCGAGTACGGTGATGTCATTTTGGGCCCCCGGGATTCCAAAGAAAGTATGCCAGATCCATGTGTCAAAAGGTGTTATCGCTTCCAAAACAACGATTGGTTTTTTTGATTTACCACTGAAAGAAACCTTGTCATCCCATCGGAGAATTCTTCCACACCCAATGCATGCAGTCAAGTGGTCTTTTCATTATAGGAAAGCCCCACCTCTCTGCTCTTTCTAGGAGCCTATTTAGGTCCTCATGTGGTAGTTGTTAGAGGTACTGTATGTGTGAACAATTGTATGACAAAATTCACCAAGGTTCTCATTAGATGTTGACTCAGACATCCTTATGGATTCATCAATTTGATCTGCTAAGCTTGCATATGCCAACATTCGGAGTGCACTCGTAAGGTTTTGGTGGGACGAGAAACCTAAATTACCAGCAACATCAGTTGTCTGTTTGAAGTAGGGGTTGACATTTGGATTATCATTTACCAAACGAAAGAAAACATGACGCCTCATCCGGAATCGACGTTTGAAGTCCTCAGGAGTGTAGACAGGATTTGGGATGATGTAGTCCATAATCAATTTTTGATGCCTAAGAGCTCGTCCCCTGCGTTTGTTACTGCAACCAATAATGAAGCTACGGGCCTTCTTGTTGTATTTGCTCTTGAGTTCATAATGTTGTTGTAGTATCTGCAAGTTGTGTATTTGTGCGCATTCGAGTATCATCTTCTTCATCTTCTTCCATCATTTGGCGTATGCGCTCCTCCCATTCGGAACCCAAGTTGGAACTTGAACCCCATTTGGAATCCATTGTAGAATTGGTTGAAAAAGTGTAGAAGAATATAAGAATTACAAAGGAATGAGATGAAGTTGTGAGATATTGAATCGAAAACACTCCATTTATTGACATTTGAAGATGAAGATAAGAGGTGCCATGTTGACAAAAATCTAATCTGAAATCTGGATAGTTGTTCCCGAACCGACACATGTCACTCGAAAATCATAGCGCGAAAAATTGTTCAGATTCCTTTAGGACGAGACGTGCCACATGGACACAAAATCTTATCAGAAATCTTGTTCTTACCAACGTATATGTATCATATATGGAATATTGTCTCTAAATAGAAGTTTAATTAAATTAAACAATATATAGTTGTGGAATGTATGAGTGTTGTACCATAGTTTTTAATAGGGGTGGCATTTTAAACCGAAAAACTGAAAAATCGCAAAAACCAACCGACAATTTACCGTAATGAAACCGCAATCGCGGTAAACCGAACCGCATTTGCGGTATTAAGAACCGAACCGCATTTGCGGTTGCGGTTGCGGTATTTGATTTTCAAAACTTGCGGTTACCGCAAACCGCAAAGTATAGCCACACGGATGATGAAGTTGAATTTTACAAGGAAATGGAACATATGACAACTTGTAAGTAATTAGTTTATTTATACTAATGTTATTTATGCTTCTTCTTATAATAAAATGTACTA